ATTTCATTTTTTTTAGCTGGAAATGAAATTCCTACTTTGCCTCTTCAACAAGTCAGGGAGCATGCAACAAACCATTGTGTCAATATTCTGCATTCTTATCGAAAATTTTGCTCAACTGTCCAATCTACTGGACAACTCATTCTGCCTGAAGCTCTCAAACTTCTGCCTTTATACACTCTTGGTATGATCTCTCATTGCTACTGTTCAACTGTTAGATATAGAGCTTGATCTTATGACCTTGTGTTGGAACAATTTGTCTTTAATATTTCTTATCTTTGCTGTTATAGTTTTAATTTGTTATCTCTAATTTAGCTAATGATTACAACTGGATGACTTTTGAATTTTCCTGATTTCTGTGCCTGGGACTAGACAGCATTCTCTTGATGGATCAATTTGTGGTCAAATGCCTGCCTAACATGTATTTTCCCCAAATGCGCATAGCTACATACACATAATGATTGTACTAAATTTTTAGATTTTTTTGAGCTTCTAAATGCTTCTCAAGTGTAGAAATTCAGATCTGATTAACACTTCAACATTTAAAGACTAGACAGTGACCTTTGGTGGAAGGCTTTGTCATTTTCACTTAAACTTCCAAAGGTTAGACAGCAGTGGGATTCATTACATGTCGCCCCTCTTTCCCATGGGCAATATATTTTATATCTCTGCATTTCATTTTAGTTGGTTACCTTGCTAACTAGTTTTCATCTGTTAGAGACGTAGAGGGTGAACACATGGGGGTAGCGTTGGAGGGGGTAACTATATTAATTCTGACCTTTGCCCACCACATCTATATATCACGACACAAGGTAGGGGGGTGCAAGGATATGAGTCCTTCTAATGTTGTGGAATACCAAGGCACTTACTGATCAAGCTGTGCTGGTTTGGGGACATTAATATCTAAACTTGTCATGACCTGTCCTCGTAGTAATAACCAGAGATACATTTAGCATTTTGCGTAGTCTGAAGGTATAGCTTAATTTTCTTCTTGAATAACTTACATTCTGACACTTTTTAAAACATGTTTCCGGCGAATATCTAGAAATAAGTAACAAACCCAGATCAAGAACATGAAATACCTGAGACACGATGATGATGATGATACTAACATACTATGAAAACCTGTTAAAATGAGATTATGACTCCTAAGTCAAGTATGCTATGGAAGTCCCAACCACTTTCGTATCTGCACTCTGCTGCATTTTGAAGTAAAATAATAAACTGAGAGGTATTCTTGATTACATTTGAATTTGATGGCTGCCTCTGCATTGCTACAATATCAGCTGTTTGTGTCTGTTGATCACGTATGTACTCCAAAAAGAACGTTTGTTGAAGGCTAGATGCCATGTTGTCACACAGTTTAAGCTTCACCAAAAAATTGTCTTGTTTCAGTGAACCTGAATTATGACAGTTGTTTCTTTGAAATCTATCTAGATTATTAGGCGTAGCATTTGTGCATTCCGCTGCACATTTGGTAACATGGTTTGGCCATGATTTAGGAAGAACTTAGAGGTGGACCCCTGATCATCTCCATTGCATTGTCACCATACAAGAATAAGTAGGTCATCATATGAATAATGTTAAATTGTATCAGCTGGGTGGGAGTTATTTTTTATGAAATGGTGATATTGTGTATTACTCTTTTCAGCATTAACTAAGAGTACCGGACTAAGAACCGATGGAAGAATAGATGATCGGTCATTCTGGATGACATATGTTTCTTCTGTATCTGCGCCTCTTGGAGTTCCATTGGTATATCCTAGGCTGATTGCTGTCCATGATCTTTTCTCTAAGGTACATTTGACTGCTTTCTTGCAGCTTTTTTGTTGGCCATCTTTTTTTTTTTAACCTCTGCTCTTACATAGATGCTGCATTGCTTTGTCTCCTCTTCTGCTACTTATCAGGAAATGGATGGCTCACTTATTCCATCTGCACTCCCACTTTCTAGTGAAAACATCAGTGATGATGGAATCTATCTTCTTGAGAATGGCCTGGATGCTTTAATATATATTGGGAATTCCGTGAATTCTAATACTTTGCAGCAACTATTTGGCTTTTCATCAGTTGCTGAGATCCCTACTCAGGTATGCCAAGCCCATGTTAAAGTTCATCATACCTACCCTTACAAACTTTTCAAACATTTCTCCGTAGGCTCCCTTAGATAATGGTGTTGTAAGTTGCAAGCACAATGTGCCAAATAAGTTATTCAGTGCTATCATTTGTGGGTGACAATTTATTTGTTAAAATCTGTGTCCAAGTGCAGATGAAGGTAGTTCTATGCATTTTTGTAAAATTATTCATGTCTATGCTCTACAAGTCTACAGTACTACAATGAAGTAGATATATACTGTATATATTCATAGATGCAAACAATAACTTCTTGTGATTGCTAGAATAATCCAATTTTCTTGGCTTCCCTAAGGTAGTTGGTCAGTGGATGAGAAAAGATATTAGCTACCGCCTTCATGTTTTTTGAAAAACAGTTTTTGTATTCTTGTATGTGCAGTTTGTGCTACAGCAACATGATAATTCAGAGTCAAAGAAACTTAATGATGTCATTAATGAGATACGACGTCAGAGATGTTCCTATCTACGGTACACCTCAAGTTCTCTTAGTATTTTAAGATAACTTTTACATTATCTCTTTTATGAAATGCCATTAATTATTGCCAAATATACCTTCCTTGCAGCTTAAAATTGTGCAAGCAAGGAGACTCTTCAGGTAAGGCTTTTTTTTATTATTTTATTTTTATATTAGTGATACACTGTTACCTATATTTCTGAATGTATAAGTTTATTAGACCAATAAGTGATGCTTGTATGTGTGATTTCATATATGTAGGTCTCTAGTATGATGAGCAACTGTACCTCATGTAGATGTTTACCTTTTGGCCCCTCTTTTTTCTACAAAAAAACCTTCTATTTGACTTCTGAAAAGTTGCACATTAGATCCTACAGGATCTGGAAAACCTATAACTCACAGTAAAAGAACTTGTAGCTCAAAATGAAAGAACAAATCTCACCATAAAGAGCCATGCATTTCATAATAAAGGAACATATAGTAAGAAATGTATTGTTTAAAATAAGTGCATAAAGAAATGCAAGTACAATGAGAGAATATTAAGTTGGACTGTATTACACAATGCATAATTTAACTATTTATTGTCGTAAGTCCTAACCCCATTAGGATATGACATGAATTTACAAAGAGACCAATCCTAAACCATTTTATATTAGGAAAGATGGCAAACTTTATTTGACGTCTTAAATATGTTGTGTAACTGTGATTATGAACACCAGGGGTACTGACTAAGTTTCACTAGAGATTTTTCACCTAATGGCCTTGCATTTGCATACCTCAACTTTTTTAAGTCAATTGGACCAAATCTTGTTAGTCAACCTTTACCTATTGCCCCCTGCGAAGTTGAGCAAGATGGATGAAGATATTATACTATATAATCTAGAATTCAACAATAACCTCTAGTAACTCTCTAGGTTGGCCATATGGGCTTCTCAGTTGTCATAGTTCAAACAATCTCATAGTAACAAACCATCTTTTAGTGCAAGTTCTAACCAATTTTGTCTGACCTGTTTTCCTTTACCGAATCAACCTAATTTCTCAGCATTTAAAAAAAAAAAAAAAATAGTGACAGGATATATAGACTGAGAAAAGGAATTTTGAATAAATGTATTAATAGATATTTTTAATATGATGATCATGCATAATTTGTATAAAACTAATTTTAACCCTACTGAAGTGGCCTCTCTCATGTATGACTGTTTCTTTTGCTTTCAGGAATGTTATTTTTCTCATACATGGTAGAAGACAAGTCTCCATTGGGCTTATCCTATGTTGAGTTTCTGGTACATATACACCGGCAGATACAAGTTAAAATGGATTAACCAATGTATATATCTGAATTACTTGTACGAATAGCGACAGTCATAAGATGGATGGTGCATGAAGTCACGGGAAGGAAGACAAATATTTTGCCTCAAACGAAATCAGTTAGTGTGGATGATGTAATGTTCTTTATTAAGTTAATTAGGGATTTGTCGTCATTATTTTAATATTTTTCAAGTTTGTGCTTGTAATATTTCGTCCTGACAAGAACCAAGTGATTGGTTTTTAGCTAAAATCAGAGTGATCCATTATCATCACATCTTTCCTTGATTCCCTTAAACGTCCATCATTCATGTAAGCAATATTAACTACAACATTTGAGTTTTTTGCACAGATCGACGTCTATAGGTTAAATACTTTCATGTTTTTGGTCTAGCAGATTCCAAGTTTTTCCTTTACTTTCTCCTTTTTAAGCTGAGCACTGCTATGATAAAATTGTTAAGATGAAGCAACAGCAGAGGTAGAGATGGGAAAATTGCTTGATCGTAAACTTTGGATGAACAATGCGCAAAGAAAATCCTTTTGTCAATACCCACAACAATGGTTAAGCATAAAGGAAGTATTGACAGCTCTAAAAATTGCGTACCATAGAAAAAGATTCTATACTACATAATTTTAAGAGCTAACAAGTACACTTCCATAATACAGCAGTTAGAGCAGACATGGCATTATCATCTTCAGGGGCAAGGCTAGAAATAATAATTTTAAGAGCTAACAAGTACACTTTCTTGCATATATCATACAATTTCAGAGCTACAGATTAAAAAGTTGGGCTGCTGGCCACAGGGGCAGCCCACCCCTATTTTGATTGATTTTTTTTTATTTTTTTTTTAATACTAATTTTGATTGATTCATATGCAATGGTTTCAATTAATCTCTCCTATTTTGATTGATTGCAACACTTGTCGATTTCATCCATCTTCAATTGATAATAATTTATTTTTATTTTAAAAAAAAAACTCCCATTTTGGTCACATTTCAGTATTATTGTGAACTTTTGTGTTTATATCCTACTATTTGCAATCAATCAGAACTTGAGGAAATACTATTTATGGATATGGAATTGTAATAAGCCATTTTGCAAACTAAAGTATGATGATATTAAGTAACAATTCGATTACGACAACTTGAGTTGTACATGAGATTCCTTTCCCATAAATTTTTGTAACAGAGTATGGCAATGTAAAACTTACTTTAATTTCTTGGGGTTATCTACATTTAAAATGAAAAGAAATTACTCTACTTAATTTCACTGAGTGGTGTGCATCAATTATATTTGATACACCCTCAGTGAAATGTTATGTACAACAGGAAATGGTGAAGGGTGGATTCTACAAAACTGATTTCAAGTTAATTCCTGCTTTCATGCCATTTACAATATTTACCGATTGACTGCTAGCTGAGAGCGCGACCACCTAAAGCAGTCTTTTGATGCTGAGCACGTTGGTGGTAAGCAAGGAACTCGTACGACAGCACAGACAGGCCATGTATACACAATTACAACGATATTCCTTGTTCCAGTGGGATATGACCAGCATATATAAACAGTGATGATATATTCTTAGCTAATTGTGAAGGTCCTGCAAAATTAAAGCAGGAATGTTGTAATAACCTGATTGTGGAATGGGCCATGTGTATGCAGTTAAAGAGAACAGAATTGTATTTTTAAGGTTAATCAAGCTCAAATATACAGTACTAAGTAAGTAAGTAGTGTAGTGACCAAACACGTTTTAATGCAATGTAATGTCAGTTACATCACCAGATTAAGAAAATAGTTCAAAATTTGAAATCAACTTTTTGCAGAACATAAATATTGTCCTAATTCCTACCTGGAATTACTGAGATGGTATTTAATGTCTGTGATCATCCGCCTCCCGTTTCCAAAACAGCTCATCGATTTCCCAATGGCTGCATTTGCATTCTAGAATGCCACTTTAAAATGTAAGAAAAACAATAACATACATTTAACTAGATATTGAAGTTCAAAGTTCATCACTGATATTGTTCGGTGACTCAAAAAGTTTCATGCTGCTATACCTTGTTTTCCTTCATGCTGGGTAATGATACATTTTTCTTCAGAACCCTCATTGTTAATAAGAAAAAAAAAAAGGGAATAAATAAGCACACTCGAGGTATTCTCAATGAATCTAAGTATGCAAGTAATGGTGTTTAACAGGTAGTAGAATATAATTGAGAAATAAATTTCCCATGCTAACAAGGCACATACCTTTACTTGGAGAGTGTGTTCTTCAAGCAGTGATGAAGAATGATTTCCAGGAATCAGAGATAGCTGGCAATATCAATATTTTTAATAACACGACGTTAAAATGTATAAAGAAAATAGACAAGTTGAAACATTAGGCAGAAAACACCAGGATAAGCATCACATTAATCTACCTTACTGAATAATTCAGTTGGTGGATTCTGGGAAAATTTCTTACTGCTGGAAAGCTTGAATTCCTTATAAATATCACAGAAAAGATTAAGGAATACTAGAAACATGATGGGGGAAAATTTATTGAGGATGCAAAAGAAAAAAGAAACAGTTGACAGCAGAATTACCTTAGGGACTGTGTTTTCCCTCTTAAAATTTTGAAAAACACCAATATCACCTTTACTTGATAAGATCTGTGTGCAGATTGCAGAATTAGTGTTCAGCTATAATTTTTTATGTCAGTGTTATTTATCAGTGAAAATGAGATCACATCTTTGTAGTGCAATCACCTTTTTGTTTAATGGATGAGCTCTAAAGTTATCGAGTACATCAGATTTCTGTCTCACCAAAGTTTTACTGGAGTTTGTCCTGAAAACATAACTAAGTCAAATATTGTCCACAAACCTCCAAACAAAAACTAACCATTCAGAAAAATAACTCAGCATCAGGGATTGAAAAAAAGTTGGGAAAGACAATCATACAGCTATGATCACAAGAAACAGATATGCACTAGTTATTTCATAGTTAAGTGAAAGAAAGGCTTGAAATTCCCACCAAAACCAGAGTTAGAGATAGTAAAATAAATATAATAGAAGAAAACATCATCTATAAGTAATGGAAAGAAAACTGGGCATAAGCACCAGTGATAGACTACCTTTTATAGTCGAGCATTGCACTACCATTATTAACCTTTCCACCACGTACATTACTTTCCTGTACAAAAGAAGCTGATTTTTTCATCTAATAAAATACTGGTAATACTTTCTGACTGATTAAATTGGCTTAAGATCCTATGAAGGAACATTTTGTAGCTATTTTAATAAAATTCAACAATAACCATATTAAACTACATTAGTCATCCAAAGAGAAAGTAACCTGAAACTGTGGCAAGGGTGGTGTGCTTTTATTCTTAAAAGATTGACTCTCCTGAATCTGGCAGCCAAGGAATACAAGCAAAGTAAGTAAGAGTGGCCTGTGGATACATATCATCAGAATACTATCTCCATGTAACAAGTTACTAACCTTTTTATCTGAGGGTCTCTCTCTAAGGGTGGAACTGTTATATTTTACATCATTGTCCAGTTGGGGTGTATTCTTGGACCTGGAATAATATAAAGCATAATACACATAAAGATAAATCTAGGACTCTAAGCATAAAGTATATTGAATAAAAAAATTCAGCAACAAGTTTACAACCTTTGTCTCAGTGCTCTATGTGTCGTTGCCAAGTCTGGTTCTTTTGGAACAGTGACTTTTGGCTTTGTATTAGTTGAGTTCACAACAGTGGTTTCAGCCTTGAAAAACACAGAAAATCATCCTTAGCTGATATGATACCAGATATTTTTTAATACAAAATTATAAAAACAAAACTCATATTTCTGTAGTATGTCTTACACTGAAGGTGAGATATATCTAAAGAGGGAACCAATGAGTGGCCTCTGAAGCAATATTACAATGATATATTCGTACATTCTTTACCTTTTTGGATGACTTGTGCGAAAAACTTGTTTGATGTTTAAGATGAGCAACCTGCTTATGCATCGAAACGAAAAGAATTGTTACATACTATAGATTTACAAGCAATCTAGAATTTGCTACCCTGTATAACAATCTATCTTGGTGTTACCAAGAACAATCAAGAAACCTCTGTTTCAGATGTATAAGGTTCTAGCTCACCCTAAAAGCTTCTCCTTATGCAACAATATCATAAATCTGGTGGGCATCTAATAAGTAGGTATTCAGTTGTAGGGTTGCCCTCATGATCGTGGAGAAATGGATAAATAAAAATGGGGAAAGAATTGGAAAGAAAAAAGGCTACTTCATGTCATTAAGATACTATGACCGGTTTAAGACAGAATAATCATATGCTGTTTTGCACATCATAAGATGAAGACAAGTATTGTAAGAAAATTGTAAGAAGAGTAATAACCTTGCGCAGGTAACCAATCTCCAACTTTTGCCTTTTGGTAGCTTCAGTTTCTCCAGGAGACGTGATTGGGTTTCCAAGCTTCTGAAGCCTAATAAAGAGATACAGTACAAAGAAGAAATTTAGGATGATATTCCCTCGGGGAGGAGGCATATGTAAGACTACTTCGATGATTAAAGTAGTTTGATAGTAAGCAAGGGAACTAAATAAACACTGCATTTTATTTTAGATGGTGCATTAAAAGTATATCACAGTTAGTGTTAGGAAATGAATCACATTGTGAATACCTTCTGGAATTTCTTGTCGAATAAACATCTATGTATTGATTTTTCTTGGCCAAAAGGCTTGCTGTAGGTTGTAATAATCTTGAGCTCACTTGATAATTTGGCTGGGATGTGGACTTCAACTTCAGCATCTGTGATCCTGTCAAAAAATTTAGATTTTCAGAGGAATAAGACAATTAATCAACTATAATGTGGTTTTATCAATGCTGGTTCGCAGGCCTTAAGTATTATACATACAACTACACAAGTTTCTCCTCAACATTATATGACACATTATACAGGTGACTTCACAGTCTCAGATTTGTGAAACGGCAATCCTAAAGCGCAAAATAATGGTTAGTACAGAAATCGATCAAATACATGTATATAAAAACTATGATCATACCTTTTTCCCCTTTATCAATTAAGGAAACTTCAGATCCTCCACTGTCATCGTTGATGGAAGATACGCTCAGAGTTCCACACCTTGGGGAAGAACTTACACTGTCTGTAAAATCATCCGCTTCCATATCCAACTTGACAATCAAAGCTGACAATGGTAACAATCTAGATATTTAAAAAGATGAATGGTGAATGCTGAATAGTATCCCCTAACCCAAGTTTGTAATTAAACGTTTACAGAACTATCATCACAAACTAAATATTGTTCTTCACACAAATCGCGTCATAGTAACAAGCCTAGTAAATTCAGACACCAAATCGTACAAAACATTCGTACAAACTTAACTCTCATTCATTTTACTTCAAATAATCAACACCACATTGTTCGTGTAAGTTTACTTGTCATGACCAGATTTCGTCGTTAACAAATTTAGATGTTTGTGTTTACCAGAATTTCTTATGCCGCAGTTTAATACAAAGTAGTACAAGTTTAAGCAAAATTTAAACTCTTCCAATTAATACCTGCAGAATTAGTACTATCGTACCACAACATGCTACTGTCACTAATTATTTTTAAGCTTATTTAATTATGAAATTTTGCACAAAAACATAAAAAACCTCCTCTATACGGAATCAATAATCACAAAATTCACGAGTACATTGATACTATGTACGTATATGTGAATTGTAAGATAATTTTATTACGGAGTACTACGTAAACTCGAATTCGAAAAATACAACAAAATCTTACGAGAAGGAGGATAGCCTTGAGCTAAATCAAACCACAGCTCGGATTCCGCAATCTCCTCAGGCGTCTCAAGCTGTGTAAAATCAAAGAATTTGGCAACATTGAACTCATAATCAAAATCAATCTCAAACGATTCCTCGAACACGCAAGCTTTTTCTTCAACATCACCTATTTTCAAACCCATTTCAATCTCTAATCTTCTTCAATCAACACTCAAATTGAAACCTCAATTAATGGACATGAATTCAATAATAATAGCAATTTTACACCTTCATCGAAGCGCGGAAAACCTCTCTCCTTTCTCCCTCTGTTCTCCCTCTCTCTCTGTGAATTGAAAAATGAAAACCCTAGGAGAGAGAAAGGAATTTGAAGAAAAAATGGCGAAGATTTCGGAGGAGAGAGAAAATAAGACAGATATAAAGGAGGGAAAAAATGGGTGGAATTTTGAGTTTGTTTGAAGATGATGATGTTAATTGTTAACGATATTTAACAGCATTTTTCCTGGAAATTTTTGAAATTGTGGGGTCCTTCAATTTTGCCCAATAACGCTCCTAAGACAGGGATGTTTTCTTTTCATATTGACAATTTTGCTTTCCTCAATCCTCGTCGTTTTGTAATTGACTAATTGTTGTTCATGTTAAGTCAATTTCTTTCTGTACTATAACAAATTAACAACCAAAATTGGTTCTTTCGTATGTCTATGTCATGGGCCATCACCTAGAAATTGCATGTAAAACACATTACTACATTGGTGTGTAACTATGAACCTATGTATGTTACTCGTTCCGTACTTTTTTGCCCACGCTATATTTGAAAATTTTAATCATTATGAATTTACAAGTTTGAAAGTTAGAGATATATTAACAATTCAAATAATTTGAGTTTATTTTAAAAGCAGAGCTAAATAATAATGACATTTTAGTAATTCGTACTTGAATTTTTACAGTGATATGGTGAAATCTACAAATTTTCAAATACAATTTTATAATTCAATTTTGATTGGCCCTGTCAATTCAATGTATAATTCTAGACAATTTTTTTACAAAGAACCAAAGTTAATATAGTATATAAATGAACAACCATGCCACTTTTGTGTATATAGGTTGTACATTCAAAGTTACTCCATTTGTTTCAAAATATATGTCTCATTTTGACTATTTGCACTATTCATATAACTATATAGGCAACTTTGTCATTTTCTCCCTTTTACAAGCGAGCCCTGTCCTAAATCGCTAAGGCTCGCGAGGGCCCGAGCATGACCTGTGTAACTTGGTAGATTTACATGTGAGAAGTTTATTGGGTCTTTTAGGGGGCGTGCATCTTACCTACTAAGAATACAAGAGCTAAACATTACTATGGTAACAATCCTTTCCACATTATTATAGGATCATATGATTCTACGGAATTAGGGCCTGTTCTCATACAATTATTATCAGTTCAATTCAGTTCAGCTCTAATAAGTTCAGTTCATTTCAGCTCCTAATTTCCTTCTCTTACAAAATATTCATTTCAGTTCAGTTCAATTCAGCTCTAATAAGTTCAGTTCAGTTCAGTTCAATCAATGAGAACAGACTCTTAATTTAAATAAATAATCATTATTATTATTTTTAAGTTACTTCCAAAACCATATTATTATAACGTAGTATCTAAAAATCTAATTCAATTTACATTTTAATCCAAAAGTTTACAATTTTTTTTGTTTCAAAAAAAAAGTTAGCAGGAATTTTAAAGTGTTATGAATATATAGAGAGAGGATTAACAGAATAAGGTAAGAAATGTAGAGTTACTACCGGTATATCACTCTTGAGGAGGTTTTGCGCGAGACCGGACTCACCGTGAGTCCAATATGTCTGATAAAGATAATCTAATATCTGACAATAATAATCTAATACCAAACAATAATAATCTAATTCCCGACATTATTTTCTGCTTCACCACTAACTATCTTCTTATTGCATGGCTACAATATTTTCTCTCTCCTCATTACATCCATAGAAACCCCTTCATAATGGAATTTTCAACATTAAATCACATTAAACAAAGCATCTTTTACACTCCAATTGTAGTTAGGGTTGTCAAACAGGTCGTGCCGTGTCGGGTTCGTGTTCGTGTCGATGTTAAACGAGTTGAAAAATCTTTGACCAAAACCAAATCCATTTATTAAACGGGTTGAAAACTCTTGACCCAAACCTAACCCGCTTACTAAACGGGTTACCGTGTAACCTTTTTACCCATATAGTATCTAATAAAAAATAATATTCAATTCAAAAATTAAAAAGACATACATCATTAATTCATCAATGATACTACAAGAGTTTAAAGTTAGTAATTATAGTAAAAGTATTACAGGAATTTGAAGTTGGTTGCTTTATCAGTACAACCATACATAAAACTTGTCCTGAATTAACAGCCAAATTTTAATTTATAAAAGTTGAAATTTATTTAATCTGCCAAATTAATTGCCAGAAATTACCTAAATGTATACATGGTGCCAAGGCAATTTACTAATTACAAGTTTAGAATAAATTTTTTGGGTTTTTTTTACTACTTAATTAATAGGTTAAGCGTGTCAGGTTCAAGTTAGTGGATTTTCGTTCAACCCATTTATATAATTGGGTTATGAGGGTCAGTTTCGGGTTGAAAATTTCAACCCAAACCTAACCCGTTTAATTTCGTGTCGGGTTCGTGTCAACCCAATTATGTAAACGAGTCAAGAATACTTGACCCAAACCCGCTTATTTCGTGTCGGATTATCGTGTCGTGTCAGCTTTTGACAGCCCTAATTGTAGTGTTGTTGCCAAAACCACCACTATTTTCTCTATCCACCATACTCGCCGCAGCAAACCAAACCCCCAAAACCCCAACTCCATGTCTTCTCCGCTAGAAAAATGCCTACAAAGAAACCTAGAACAAAGAAGACGATGGAAGTAGTGGTAGAGGAAGACGGTGGAAATGGGTAACGAGGTAATGATGGTTGGATTTCGATTTTAGCGAGAGTTGACGAATGAATGGTGTTGTGAGTGTTTGCGGCGAACTCACAGTGTAATATTTTTGTTTATCATACAAGTAAATTAGCATGACTATTTATAGTAGTGCATATTACTATTACATTGTGGGCTATAGAGGATGACAATAAGGTTGACTTGACATTAATTGCAATAAAGATATTAAAGTGTGGACATTCGCACTATATTAAAACCATCAACTCAATCTCAACATATACTCCATAGCATATTTTATTAACTTTTACCTAACTTACACCATAAAAATTATTATTATTATTATTATTATTATTTTTTTATTTTTTTTATTTATTTTTTATTTTCACTCTAATAAACTCACAAAAGTCACAATAAATTTGGACTCCAATAACTTCTTTTAAAAAAAAAAAAAAAAAAAAAACCCTTAGCGAGTAGTTGAGTACTATAAACAAAGGAAACGAACCCGACCGAACCACCGTCCCGGCAAGCGTCTAACTCAGGGGTTTAGGCACACAACATTTGCAAATTTGCAATCCCCCTCAACTCTCCAAAACCCTAAAACACCACACCTCCTCACTCACTCACTCACTCGTCTCTTTCTCTCTCCTCCCACACTCTCCCCTCCTTTCTCTCTCTACTGATCAACAACAATGAGTTACGCAGCATACAAGATGATGCACTGGCCAACCGGCATCGAAAACTGCGTTGCCGGCTATCTCACCCACTCAATCTCCGACTCCACTCCTCAATTCATCCCTCCAATTCCTTCCGACGACCTCGACTCCGACTGGCCTCGCCGTAGTCAGGGCATTGGTCCTATCCCTAATCTTATCGTTTCCGCCGCTAATGTTCTCGAGGTTTACGTCGTTCGGGTTCAGGAAAACAATGCTGCTTCCGATGCCAAGCGCGGTGGCGTCATGGCCGGTGTGTCTGGTGCTTCTTTGGAGCTTGTTTGCCATTATAGGTTTTGTAACTTTTACTCTCTTCTTGTTTTCTATTATTGAAGTTTAGGTTGTTTTATTGGGGTGTTGGTGGAAAATGTAGTTGATTTTGGGCTTCAATTGGAGTTCAATTTGAGCAAATAGGCGATAATGCGTATTATAGTGATCATTAGGGTTAAAATTGTTAGAATTTTTAGGTGAAATTGAATGAATATTTGGCTATTGGACGGATTATAGTATAGAAAGGAAATGGGGTGTTGGCAGGAAAATGTAGGTTTGTTTGAGCTTTTGAACTTAAATTGAAGCTGAATTTGTACAATTTTAACTTTTAGGATTTGAATGTTTAAAGTTATTTGTTATATTGGAATGTTATTTTGGCAATTGGAATAATTAGACTTTAGAAATGGGGGTCTTTCTGGGAAATGTAGGCTGCTTTTGTGTTTTAGATCATTTGCACTTGAATTGAAGCTGAAATTAGGCAATCATGGTTACATTATTAACCATTTGGGTGAGAATAGTTAGAAATTTTAGGTGTAAACTGGAATTATATATTGGCAATTGGACTAATTAGACTTTAGACAAGGGGAGGGGGGTTTGGTGGAAAATGTAGGCTTTCGACCATTTGAAATCAATTCAAAGCTGAAATTTGCGAAAATAGGTGATATAGCCTACAATATTGACCATTAGGGTTAGAATAATTAGAAATTTTAGGTAAATTGGAATGATATTTTGGCAACATGATTATTGGAATTTAGAAAAGGGGGAAAGAGTTTATGATTTAAGTCATAGACTCTTTATTTCTTTAATGTAGGGTTACTATTTTTATTTGCTTGTTTGTGTAGTTCTGAATGCATAATATGCTCATTGGGGGTATGCCAGGTTGCATGGTAACATTGAATCCATGGCTGTCCTTTCAGTTGGTGGAAGTGACAGTTCAAAAAGGAGAGATTCAATCATATTAACATTCCGGGATGCAAAGATATCTGTCTTGGAGTTTGATGACTCAACTCACAGTCTTCGTGCCAGGTAAGAATGGTGAATTCACTATGAAATGGAGACATTTTAAATTCTGTTACTTTCAAATAAATTATGTTTGGCTAGTTAGCTTCCATATCCGTGCTCTTGAACTAATTACTTACATTTTTTTTTTTGTTTGTTGTTTTACTTTAATAGCTCGGCATTATCATATTCATCAATATGTAACCACTTCTTATGCTTAAACATATAGGTTTCACGTATATTGTGATATGGAATGATATAGTTTGCTGTTTCTACTTGTGAATCTCATAACGTAAATCAGCTGAAAGGGTTCATTTGGTCTCCGAGCATTAAATTATCATAGTTGTTGTCTGAACGTGCTTGAAAAAAAGACCTTGTAAATTTTCTGGAATTTTGATTCCCAAATACATAAAAACTGGGGAAAATCTGTGTAAAGTGTTTATTATAGGAGATACCTCCCAGGCAAACCCTTTGATCTTCTCAAGGATTCTAAGCAAAATCAATGTTCTTCAAGTTCCTATTCAGAAGGTTTCCCTGCAAAGATTGAGTTTTCAGTAGACCTAATAACCATTTTAAACCATAGAAATAACTATAAT